AGATTTGAGGTTACATGATATACTTTTTGCTCATAACTGATGTGGCTGGAGAATTGGTACTGAATTTACAGCACTGGCAGAACAGAAAATGTGATGTATTTTATGCATGTCAATAAAGGAATGACCTGTTCTTGTTCTACAGAGAATGGAAATTGGAAGTCAAACACCCTTTGTATTCCAAAATAGGGTCTCATACATTTTCTAATTGTCATTTAAATTGTTGGGAGGCTTGGAGCTATTAGTTAATCTATCTTCCAATACACTGTTTAATATAGCACTGAATAAATGATGCAAGTTGTCAATGGATGAGTGATCAAGTAATAGCTCTGCTAGTAATTGATTTATTTTTCTTCAATAAAGTTGCATAAACCAATGAGTTAGCTGCCTAGATTAATCATTATGGGAAACAATCTTTTGTAAATGCAAAGCTGTTTTTGTATATACTGTTGGGATTTGCTTCATTGTTTGACATCAAATGATGATGTAAAGTTCAAAAGTGACTATCTTGCTATGTTCAGTTAAAGTGCACAGTCTGTTACAGGTTGACACATTGATTGACCTGATTTTTGCAGAATTAATAAGCTAATAGTGTAGCTTTAGCATGCGGCACATAATACTGACAACCCTACAGTTCAAAGATGGACTTGGGACCGAGCAGATTATAAGATAGGGAGTTTAAGAAATTTATTTTCCAGGTGCAACTCCGTTTAAAGTTTTCTTCACCTTGTACACTTGACAGCTGAAAAAAACATAAAATGGGAATAATAATGGGCCAAAATTTACAAAATAAAGTACTGTTTTGGTGTGGGAGTTGAAATGAAGCTGTGTTGAAGTGACTTTACTATGTGGGATATTAAGTATCCATTGAAATGGATTTGTTCAGCCATTTACATTAATGAGCATATAAATGCATCAGATATCATTTCAGGTGACATAACATAAATGAATAAAAGTCAATGCTATTGGAAAAAAAATCTAAACAGCAATGATAACAGTTTGAAGATTAAGGCATGCTTGATTAAGGCCATGACCTTTTAAAAACTTATTATGCATCTGAGAGCTGGGCGAAGAATAAGGGTGACAGAATTGATGTCTTTGAATTGTGGTGCTGGAGAAGAATACTTAAGTTGCCTTGGAATGACTAACAAACAGATATATCTTAGAGAAAGTGCAGCCAGAGGGCTCCTTCCTTGGAAGCATCGATGGAAAAGTTTCATCTCTGATACTTTTGACATGTTTCTAGGCTGTTCCTTGGAAAGGGACATCATGCTTGGAAAGAGAGCAGCGAAAGAGAAGAGCCCCCAATGAGATGGATTGACACGGTAACTACAGCAATGATTCAAGCGTGTCAGAGATGATGAGGATGGTGTCAGATAGGACAGAACACAGATCTATTGTTCATATGGTTTCTATGGGTCACACTTGACGGCACCCAACAACAACACGGTAACATTATCTAAAGATGGGTGTCAGACGTTTGGACAGGGATGCAATTTCAGTGCTGCCATAGGGGCTGTTTCCCATTAGATCCACTCTATGTTTACACAAGAACGCAGAGTGGAGGACAGTGTTGACTGGTCATTACAACACTGGGTGACACAGGACTGTGGCTGGACCCACAGAGCTCCCCTGTGTGGCTGGGAAGTGAAGACACACAGGAAAACACATGTTGTGGTTAGATACCACGAAGTAGGTGGCAATGCCTTAACCGTATGCGTGTTGTAAAGGCCCAAAGGGCCTCTTCCATCCTTGTCAAGGGGAGTGCTAACCTTCTCTCCTTTCATACAACACGGAAAACACATGTTGTAAAGACAGCATCCATCATTTAGGGAGCTCTGGTGGTACAGTCTGTAGGGAGTGTTGCATGGCTAACACAAAAGCTACTCCTTTCCAGCAGACCAAGTCTGCCAGCAGCCCGGTGGGAGAAGACAGGCAGTTTCTCCCACTCAGTTTACAGCCTTGGGAACTGAACAGAGGGTCAGCTATGAGTTGGTTCCAACTAGATGGACATTAGTAGAGTGAGAAACCATCTTTTAGATAGCATCAAGAAAGCTTCAGATGTTAACACTTAAAAGATTATACTAAGCCTGACTTTATGGTTTGCCCAGGACTCCATCACTCTCAATGCTGTGGAGCCTCACGCGGTCAGAGAAGAAGACACTGTGGATGGGGACCAGTTCCACCCCTCACCATGTGCCCCCAGCAGTCTGGGGCCTCTTCCAACCTCTGTGACCTTGCTCCTCAGCTAGCAGAGTCAGATTATGCTAGGTCTGAAATCTAAGAGGATCCAATCTACTCTATATTATGAAAACTGGTAAATTAAGAGGAGGTACCATTGATGCTGATTTTCCTGTCTAAATTACACCTCAGCAAAACCAAAAAGTTGATGGAAAAGATGCTTTTTGGTGGTTTTTAATCTGTGAGTTTTAATTAATATATGCAAAAGGGATGACAGGAGTTAGAACTGTGCCCCTGGTCTGCAACTCCGACTGAAATAGCAAATCTGTGGGGGGCTCAGTAGCTGCAGCCATGACGTCAGGGGGACTGTCTACTGACCGAAGTGAGGCTGACAAGCCCTGAAATCACAACCCGTATGAACACTGAGATACAACCCCCAGTGTATAGAAGTACCTGGGACAGAGACACATATTAAATGACACTGAAGAGCTGCCACAGCCAAAGGTAGCAAATGAAACTATTTCTTCAGCAAATACAAAACTAACAAAATAATGAAAAAACAACAAAGAAAAAGAAAACAACTTAAGTTGAAAAAAGTTCAAGAAAAAAAGTTATGACTCAGGGTGAAGTCTCTCTCAGGGAGGAGTGATAGGGAATGGCAAAGGATACACTGACAAAGAAGATTAATCAGAACTGGCTTTGACAATCACTGTGGCATTTGGACAAGAACAAACTGGGAGGAGGGTAGAGAGAATAGTGCAACAATGAATGAGTGGAAGCCCAAAATCTCTGTAAATGTTTATGAAAATTAATAAAATATAATTATAGAAAAAAAAAAAAAAGAAACATTTCAACCAAATATAAGTGTGAACTCTGTGTGGAACCTGTTCTAACAAATCAACTATAAAAAGGCATTTCTAGGACCAACAAGAACACTGGTTATGAAGTGATATGACGGGATTGTTGTTGTGTACCTCGGAGTCAGAACTGACCCATAGTTGACCCACAAGGGGTTTTTCAGAGGCAGTAAATTGCACATGAGATTGCCTATTTTCCTACTGCAGAGCTGGTAGATTTGAACCGCATACCTTTGTGTTGGCAGTACAACTCCTTAGCACTAAGCCATCAGAGCACTCTATGAAGAGACTGTTGTTGCTGCTGTTATGTGCCATTGAGTTGCTTGTGACTCATATTACCCTTATGTATAATAGCTCTGAACCCTGCCCTAGCTGGAGCCAATTTGTTTCTGATACACCTCCCCCTCTAATGCCAGTTACTGTGTCCCTCCATCTGCTCCTAAGTCATCCTCTTTTGAGCTGTCCCTCCATCCTTCCAAGCATGATGTCTTTCTCCAAGGAAGAAAAGATTACTGGCCAATTTTAAAGTGAAATAATGGCATTAAAGCCATCTTCTCTCTTAAAGGTACATCCGGAAATATATATAGATGAAATCGTATCAGAAACTGCTTTAAAATATCCATTTGTGTGGAAGAAGTGAGTGTGGGGTAAGAGATGAAATAAGACTGGCCATACGTTGGTAATGGGCAATCTCCTCCCATGCGATTAACTGCCTCTTAAGACCCGCTGGAGGGTCAGCTATGAGTTGGTTCTGACCATGACACACAACAACAAGTTCATTACTTCCTCTGTGCTTACTTTTTCTAATGAGGTAAAAAAAAATAAGATATGAAAGCACTTGGCACATAACAGCCAACTTAATAAATGACAATTGCTGCTCTTTTACAACGAGCATACTGTGAGTTAGGGGATTGAGTCATTTACTGAAAGTCACACCGAACAGGTGAAAAATAAGGTCGGCTTCTCTGAAGGTCTTGTCTGTGTGGCCTCATCAGGCTGCTCCCATAATCACAAAAGCCACTCAATGAAATCACATTTTTATTCAAAATGGCTGTAATGGCTAGAAAGACAATAGCTAAAACCCCCAAACACTTTGCTTAACTGGAAATTAAAAATAGTGGATTTGCAGGAACGCAAACAGTGGATGGCAGCCTTGGCCCTCTGGTGATGGATATAAATCAAAACAGCATAAAAATAATAAATGTCCTTCTAATACATAATCTGGATGTGCAGCATTTATAGCAAATAGTATTTTAAAAAAAAAAGAAAAAGGAAAAGAAGAAAAAAAGAAACAGAAAACCCCCACAAAATCCCAAACTTTGGAAGTGAACATTCTCTTAAGAACACAGTGGTGAAGACTTCTGGTAGCAAAATTTTCACAAATCCTTAAAATGGGAATACTTCAAAAGTGCGTCTTCAAATTCAAAAGATAAAAAAACTGAAGAGGGTGCTGGCTTAGAAGAAATGCCTCTTGTCACAAAGATGACAGTCGGTCCTGCTTCCAAATCAGTGATGGCGAGCCCAGTCAACCCGGACGGAGATGGCTGCGGGCTGACGTGGCCGATTGTACTAGAACACGCTGGCCGGCTCTTCCTGTGAGAAGCCAGAGCTACTGCTCGTCTTGACCGATGCCCAGGTTGCCTTTCTGCACCTCGAGTTCCTCGGCACTGACCATGGATGGGTCGATGGCTGCATATTTGGTTCCGTGGAACTGCAGCAAGTGTATCTGCAGAGATGTAGAGTCGTTATTTAAAATCACTGCCTTAGAGTGTAACACAGATTGTCTCATCAAAACAAAACAACCTGGCCGGAAAATGCTACCATAATATATTTTACACTTCTAAAATTATAGAGTAACTAATTAGAGAAGAAGTTGAAAACACAGAAAAGCAATGATTTTTTAAAAAAATGTCTTAAAAAGCACAATTTAGGGTCTTTGTTCCTCACACCTCTCCAGCTTCCTACAAATTCTTCATCATTGCTGTTGCTAGGTGTCATGGGGTCAATTCTGACTCTGGGTGACACTGTGAATTCACAGCCAAACTGCATCCCAACTGTTTTCAATGCTTTTGGAAGCAGATTACCAGGTCTTTCTTCTGAAGTGCCTATGGGTGGGCCTGAACTGCCAACTTTTTGGTTAGCAACCTGCCATTTAACTATGTGAATCACCCAGGGAGTCTTAAATGCCTCAAATTATCTGAAATGGTTGTAGTGACCCAACCTATCTCTGAAGTTAGGTCCTTCCTATCTTCTGGTATTAACACTAACATTTCTGGGCCTCAAGTTCTTGTGTTTAGGGCTCTTTTCTTAAAATACATTTCCAGTGCATCAAATAGGATCAAAGAGGATGCCTGTTTTTAAAGTCTCTTGATACCTGCAGACAGATGTTAATGTAATCATTTCTCTCTGTGGTTTCAAATGGTGGAAGATGAAAAGGTTTGAGTTGTTAATTTTTTTTATGAATTAAAATGAGACCAATTAAAATGAAACGTTGCTTCCTGGGACAGAGACTGATCCTGTCTAGGTGGGTGTCTTGCTTTGACGGATTTCACTGTGTCCAAGATAAAGTCCATTTTTCACTTCAATGTGTGCATGTGGGGTTGCTGTCCCTAGAAAAGGGATGGAAAGACAGTTGCATGGATGTCTCCAACACACCTATTTGAATTCCCTACAAATTATGAATATAGATCACCTTTACCTAGTCAATGCTCTTTTCTTTTTTTCTTTTTCAGTGCTCATTTTTACAGAGAATTCCCCTTCTCCTCTGGTGGCCTAGCCTGTAGGAAACTGGGCACTGTGGTTCAAATCCACCAGTGGCTCCGCAGGACATAATGGAAAACTTCCTTCTATTAGAGTCGTAGCCTCTGGAGGGTCAGATTCTAACTTGATGGCATTAAGGTGTGTTTGTTAGTATTCTGTCAGTGGTAGCACCGTGATTAACATATTCAGCGGCTAAGCAAAGGTCGGTTGTTTGATTGACCAACCATTCACTTGGTGGGAGATGGAGAAGCCAGTCTGCCTCCGGGAAGATTCTGGCCTTGGAAATCCAACGGTTTCTGAAGAATTCTACTGTGTCCTCCAAAGTGACTCTGAGTAAAGTGACCACTGGATGTCAGGGGTGGGTTATTCTATTATTCAAAGGGGAGGAAAAAAAGAAAATACTTTTGTTTCAAACCATGTATTTCCCTCCAGGCCTCAGTGTGAGACTTACCTGGACATAAAGATTCACCTCTGCACTTCTGCACAGGTAGGGGAAATTGCCTCCTGTTTTAAGGTGAGCCCTCCGGGCATTAGGATAGAGTTTGTACATTTCTTCTTTAGCTTCAGTTGAAAGTGCACTCTGGTCAAATACCTAAAAAAAAAAAACACACCCAAAACCACACACAAAAAACCCCAACAAAACAAAACGGACCCTCAGACTGAAACCTATAGGTGTTTTAATATATTCTTTTTACATTCTGGAATATGCCACCCCAGTGAGCAGTATTCTTTTGCATGAAGAAAGCCAGCTATATTGCAAAGCCCAAGCCATTTACAGCAATTTGTGCACACCCATGTTTATTGCTACATTATTCCCAACAGCAAAGAGACAGAAGCAACCCAAGTGCCCATCAATATGGGATGGATAGAAAAATTATGGTATATTCATATAATGGAATACTATGCAGCACTGAAAAACAATGAACTCATGAAACATTACATAACATGAGTGACCCTGCAGGACATTATGCTGAGTGAAGTATCTCAGTCACAATAGAGTGATTTCTGGTGACTTCTAGCCACAACCTAACACATTATCTACAGATTTTGCTGCTCTATCCCTCTTAAGTTCTTGGCTGGAGAAAACCATGCTATGCATCATGCCACTAGAGCTCCTAGTGTCTCTAACATTCTTTTGGGGGTAGAGAAATTCTACATTGAATTCCCCCTTTTTCAAATGTAGTTGGCTAATTTAACAGAATATTCATAGTGAACAATGGCTACTCAAAAGGTCAATTAATTTTAAAGAGATTATGAAACAGCAAAATTTTATTACTTAAAAACAAGTACATACATTTCTGCTCAGTGAAAAAAAATTTTTTCCTCCTGACCTGAAGCGCCTGCTGTAGAGTGTCAAGGACTGCAGCCTACAATATGGATTGAGGCTCAATGTCAAGAAGACAAAGATTCTCACCACTGGACCAATTGGCAGCATCAGGATGGATGGTGAAGAGACTGAGATTGTACACAGCTTTAGTTTGCTTGGCTCCATAGTCAACAGTCTTGGCACCAGCAGCCAGGAAATTAAAAGGCGCATTGCCATGGGAAAGTCTGCTGTTAGGGACCTCTCCAAAGTGCTGAAGAGCAGTGGTGTCTCTCTGGAGACTAAGGTGCGTCTGATACAGGCCATGGTCTTCGCAATCACTTGTTATGCATCAGAGAGTTGGACAATGACCAAGGAGGAGAGAAGGAGAATTGATGCCTTTGAGCTGTGGTGCTGGAGAAGAGTACTGAGAATACCATGGACTGCTAGGAAAACAAACAGATTTGTCCTGGAAAGGGTTAAACCGGGTGGCTCCTTGGAGGCAAGGATTTTGAGGCTCTGTCTAACATACTTTGGACATGTTGTGAGGAGAGACCGGTCCTTAGAGAGAGACATCATGCTTGGGAGGGTGGAGGGACAGTGCAGGAGAGGAAGGCCCTCTATGAGGTAGATTGATTCAGTGACTGGGATAATTGGGATGGGAGTGTCAGAGACAGTGCGATTGGCACAGGACAGAGCGGAGTTTAGGGCTGTTGTACATAGGGTCGCTATGAGTCGCAAGCGACTCGACGGCACATAACAACAACAACAACAATTAAAAAAACATAGTCAAAGAAAGTCCTTTTGCAGGTGAGGTTACTGTGAGCAGTTTGAGGCATAATATGCCAGACATTGTTAATGCTCATAAAAATGTATGGGAACATTTTAAAAAGTCATCTAAAATTCTGAACAACAAAATAAAATTTGAAAAAAAGATAAGGAAAGTTCTACACTTTAATTGAAAGAAAGTGATCTGAAGGTATGAAGCCAGCTTTTGGGCTAACTAGAAGCTGTCATTCTCTGCAGCACCTTCTGGTTGATACCCAGGTGCGTCATAGCTAAAGTGCAGTGTCTATCCACAGCACCTCCAATGAGGAAGGACTACGACTTTTGTTTAAATATATTTTTATTTCACTGGTGTTATTCCTGCCCAGAAAATCCAGGCGAAGCTGTACACAGATGATACTGGAATGAGGCAGCAGAGAGGGAAGGGGAAAGCTAAGGGAGTATTTGAGGAGGTGTGTGGAAAATTATAATTAAAAGAATATTGACATAACGACTTTTGAGAAGGCAAAGTATCTATTTTAAAGGAAAGGGAAACTTACATCCATGATGGTTACAGGGATGTCCCGAATTTTATGAGGTTCCACATAAGAATTCTGACAATTCAGGGTAAGTCTTGAAGCCAGTTCACTTTGACCCAAACTTTCCAGCTGCAGGATAAAACAGAAGAAAAGCTGTTAAAATGAATTTTGGTTTTCATATTTACATTACAGCCACAGACAGTATTTGTGAGGGAAAGGGTGGGGGACACAAAGACTAATAATGTGGGGATGTGGTGTATTTGAGGGACCACGAACTGGCCTCGTAGGTGGCAACATTCTCCTTTTCTCAGCGCACTGCTGAGGTTCTACAGAAGGAACCTCAGCTTCACACCTCTTAACCTTGAACTGTACACTTCAACCAGGTGCCTGTGAACAGGAAGCCAACTCCTGCAGCTCAAAGGTGACAGATAAACACGTAAGTGAGCTTAGAAATCAACCAGCCCAGTTGTTCCTAAATGCAAGGCTGTAGATCTGGAGCACAAAATCAATCACCTTGCAACTAGGGATAGCAGGCAGTGGGGCTGAAAATACAGACTTTTGAGACTCCATGCCCAGGACTCTGTGTGCAGGTGGTCTGGAAGCTGAGGTCTCAGAAGTTATATTCTTAAAAATTCTCCCAAGCAATTCTGAGAAACACCTGGCATGGGAAGCACTGCTGTAGCCAAGTTCTGGTCTGTCCGGATGTGTTGAAGTTATTATGGAAGATCACTTAACAAACACCTTTGCTGCACACTCAGTTGCATGGCGACACATAGCGATATCCTCAGGAACCACGCAGACATGAACACCGTCAGCACATGGGGTCCCCAAGCAGGGGTCCTGGCCCTTACCCTGTCCACCATGAAATCGATGGCATCCGCCATCACAGGGTCCACTGGGCCGGAGGAGAAGTTTCCAAGGACAATTTTTTTTAGCATAAATGCTGGCATTAGCCAAAAGCTGTAAAACAAAAGATCTGATAAATGTAAAATTCCAAGACTAGTATAGATTCGTGGCAAATACCCATTCAACACTGAAGCCTTGTATCAGCTAGGCACTTGGGATTCAGGGATAAGAAGACCTAGGGCTTTCCTTCAAAGAGTTCAGTGTGTAATTGTTTGTATTCAGGTATGTGAAGTTTCTATAACCTTCATGGTTATAGATGGGCAGGGCAAGGCCTCCTCAAACCATCTCCACTCTGCTCTTGTAAGTCCTGCAGGGATGTGCACAGGATGACTCCAGGCCCGGGCACAGGGCAGGCTTGTCCTCACTGTCTAGCTTCTACACACCGTTTTCCAAACTCCAAAAGAACGATAATCATATCAACATTTTATTTGCAAATTTGAGACAGTTTCAGGTAGCATTTCAAAATATCTTTACTGAGGCAGACATTGGGATGATTATAAGACTTTACCATCTTAAACTGACCAGGGACTAAACTATTTCAGAAAACAGTACTTAGGAGATATATTCTTTCCTTTAGGCTGATTTATCACCATTTTTTAAAAAAAATGTAAACCTATGTTCTTAATAGATATTGTTATAATTATCTTTTTTTTTCATGTTTTAAATTGAATTTTGTGTGTGTGTGTGTGTTTACTATCAAACTGGATCTGACTGGTACAGGAGGAGGCTGGCCCTCCTTCTCCAGCAAAGCATCTAGTGGATTTGAACCGCGCGCCTCTGGGATTGCATGAATTTTATTTTTTCTATTAAAGAAAATGCACAGCAGAACATACCCCAGTTCAACAATTTTTCCAAGTCTGAATCCATGATACTGATTATTGTATTTTTACAATCAGGATGTGTTACATGAGAGTGGCGTGGAGCTCCCTGATGAAAACAAGCTTGGAAGGAGGAGTGGCATCCATTTCCGTAATAGCTTGCCTCCGGAAACCCTATGAACCTGGAGAGAGGATGAAAGGCACCCAAGCGTCGAGGACTCTCCTTCATAGGGTCGCTATGAGTCGCCTGCGACTTGACGGCACTTAACAACAACAACAACATGTGTTACACCATGTTTACAAACCACGCAACCTCACTCAGTTCCTACATGTGCACTCTGCTCACATTTCATATGTTGAAATATGGGATATTCTTCATGCTGTACAACCATTCTCACACTCCTTTTCTGAAGTATTCCTCCCTATGAACATAAATTAACTACTCTCTAAGGTTCCTATCTAACCTTTCCAGTTGATGTTTTGAATGGCTGACCCTATGTAGACAGATTTTAAATTGTGTCATCTTTTGATGAACTAATACTTCTAATAAAAGACTTCAAAATAGAGGGAGCTCTGGTGGCCTAGAGGCAAGAAGCTACGTTGCAATCCCAGGGGTGCGCGGTTTGAATCCACCAGTTGCTCTGCTGGAGAAGGAGGGGTAATCTCCTCCTGTACCAGTCAGATCTGATTTGATGGTACACACAAAAAAATAATAAAATAAAATTTAAAAAAAAAGACTTCAAAATAGTAAAATGAGAGTTACTCTCTCAAAGTTTGCTACTACTATTCAATTGGGCGAATACAAGGCAATTTGATCTTTATAGATTTCTACAAGCGATCTTTAGTTTGTATTCATTCATTTAAAATATTAAGAGACATTATTTACAGTAAGCAAAATTTTTTTAAATATGCTGAAAATTACTTATAAAAGGTACAGATTGACAATACAAAAGAAAAAGTATCCCAACACCCTATGCTCATAGTATGCCTATGGGATGGAGAAGAACTGCTTTATGACACTTTACTTTCTGTAAGGCAGACTGCCTGCCTCCCACATATGTCTCCCACAGAGTACCTGGGGGGTCAACCCACCAACCTTTCGGTTATCAGTTCTGCTCTTAACCACCAGGACTCCTTAGATCATTAATTATAGCTGCTATATGCTAGGATAGGTAACATCCTTGGAGATGGTCTTCATACTTGGAAAGGTGGAGGGTTAACAAAAGAGAGGAAGGCCCACAATGAGATGGACTGACACTAGTGACTGCAGCACTGGGCTCAGTGTGTCAGAGACTGTGAGGATGATGGTTCAGTCTGTAGTTCACAGGGTCACTAGGGGTCATGCTTGATAGCCAGAGTATCTGAGGCAGAGCTTCATTATCCTTGCCTCGAAGAACGCTCTGGCTACGCTTTCCCCAAGAGACATCTGTTTGTTCTTGTGGCAGTCCATGAGATATTCCGTACTAGTCTCCAAAACCACAACTCAAAGGCATCAGTTTTTTTGTTTGTTTGTTTTTTAAATTTTGTGTGTGTGTACCGTCAAACAGAATCTGACTGGTACAGGAGGAGATTGCCCCTCTTTCTCCAGCAGAGCATCTGGTGGATTCTAACCGCATGCCTCTGGAATTGCAGTGCAGCTTCTTGCCACTAGGCCACCAGAGCTCCCTAAAGGCATGAATTTTTATGCTGTTATTCCTACTCATTGTCCAGCTCTCAGATGCACAGGAAGGGACTGAAAAGACCATGGCTTGAATGCATCTTGGTCTTCAAACTGACATCACTGCTTCTCAGTACTTTGGAGAGGTCCCTGACAGCAGACTTTCCCAATGCAATAGGTCTTTTGATTTCCTGACTGCTAGTGCCAAGGGTGTTGACTGCGCATCCAAGCAAGATGAAGTTGTTGACAATTTGTTTTCTCTCTATAATGATGTTGCCTATTGGGCCAGTGGTTTTTGTTAGGTTTTTGTTTGTTTGTTTTTTGTCTTCTTGATGTTGAGATGCAATCCATAATGAAGTCTTTAATCTTCTGCAGCAAGCAGTTTAAATCCTCTTCACTTTCAGCAAGTAAGGTTGTGTCATCTGCATAACATAGGTTGTTGATGAGTCTTCCTCTTATCCTGATGGCACAGTTTTCTTCATAGAGTCCAGCTTCCGAAGTATTTGTTCAGCAGTCAGATTGAACAGGTATGGAGGAAGGTTATAGCCCTGACATATACCTTTTTTGATCATAAGGTGAAAGAGATGAATGGAAGATTTCAAAGGAAAGCTCAGTAAGACAAGGCAAGAGAGTTGGAGAAAGAGACTAAAAATGGAAGAACTCACTCGGCATCGCTTAAGCTGAGAGAAGTAAGAAACAAATTCAAGCCTTGAATTGCAATACTGAGAAATATGGGAAAAATCCTGGATTATTCAGGAAGCATCAAAAGAAGATGGAAGGAATACACAGACCCACTGTATCAAAAAGAATTACTTGACATTGAAATATTTTAAGAAGCACCATATGATCAAGTCATGAAGGAAAAAAGTTCAAACTGTACTGAAGATATTGACAAAAAATAAGGCCCCAGGAATTGATGGAATACCAACTGACATATTTCAGTTAACAGATGCAGCCCTGGACGTGCTCACCAGTCTGTGCCAAAAGTCTGGAAGAGAGCTACCTGGTCAACTGTGTCAAAGAGATCCATTTGTTCTCATTTCCAAAAAAAAGGTGATCCAATAGAATGTAGAAAAAATTGAACAATGTCACTAATATCACATTCATTCAAGCAAAATATTGTTGAAAGTCATCCAAAAATAGCTAGAACAGTACACTGACAGAGAAATATAACAAGTTTAATCTGGGTTTAGAAGAAGTCATGGCAGAGATATCAATGATAACATCATATGGACCTTGGCAGAAAGCAGAGAATATCTGAAGAATGTCTACTTGTGTTTTATTGACTATGCAAAGCCATCTGACTGTGTGGATCATAACAAACCATGGTTAACATGGAGAGAATGGGAATCCCAGAACATGTCATCATACTCATACAAAATTTTAGATAAGTTTTGTATAATTGGTAAAGAATCTCTGCCTTGAGCACTGTGCTCTTTTAAAGAATTATCTATATGATGTCAAACTGAAAACAGCAAACTCCAAAGAGTAGACAGGAAACTTAAGGGGCAGCTAGTTTATATTCATGAGGGAGGAACAATTTGAAAAAGGAGGGTGAGGGTGGTTGTAAAACTTGAAGGATATAATCAATGTGATTAAATAACAGATGTATGTTCTACTGTGCATATTTAGAACAACAGTCAAAATAGTAAAACAATTAAAAAATCTAAAAGATTAAAAATGCATTTTGATTTATATTCCTAGTGGAATAGCTTCGCTAGAAATTGAACCTCTCTTGTTTTGCAAGGACCAATCCAAAATTTTCAGTTAACTTGCTGAATTCTCACCCACCCATTTCTACCTTATCTCTTAAACTGGCTTTGAAATTTTGCTTAAAGCTCTATCCTGTGTGGTACGAATTAAGCAATGAGGTGTGATTAGGACGTGAATGATATACAAGAGCACCAAGTAGGGAAAGTCTTAGTATTCTGACAACCAAAAATGCAACAGTGAAAATCACCACAGGTAATCAACGACAGAAGTTCTAAGTGCTCGCTGGGATGTAAGTATTTGTAGATGATGTGCATAAGAAATTATTGTGTAAATGCGGAGTAATGAAACTTCTGAGATAACAACAGGAAAAGTTCTAATGCTAACAGCATGCAATCTCAAGTCTATTATGAAAACAATGTTTACTTGTAACACTACTTAAAATCAACATAATCATCAAGATATGTTTCAACACAGCTCGAGCCACTGCTGCCAGGTTGACTCCAACTGAAAGCAACCTTCCATTGATCAGGAGGCCGACGCTGGAACTCTGACTGGGAGGGGACTGCCCATCTTTCTCCCTTGAAGCTGCTGGTGGTTTTGAACCATGGAGATGTGCAGCTTTTTGGTTAACAGTGCACCATGCTACAGACTAGGCTGCCAGAACGCCTTAAATTCAGTAATTGGGCTTAGTTTTTTTGGCTGTTGTTGCTTGTTTTATTTTAAAGTAAAGCCTAGCCTTGTTAGCAATACAAGAAATTTGCATTAAACTAGCTGTAAGGTACTTTTCATACCTATTGAATTAATTATAATGACAGAATCTAAGGCAAGGCTCCATGGGGACAGTTTTCTCACAGGATGTGCCATATAAAGCATTTGCATCTCTCTGGAGAGCAGGTTAACGTAAATGTTAGGAGAGACAGAACACCTGCTGGCTGAATGCTCTAGGTTTTCCATTTGGGAACATATTACAAGGAAATAGCCCGGAAAGACAAGGAAAAAAGGAATTTGTACAAAGATGCTTATAGTAGAACATGGTGGGGGATAAAAACCCTGAGCAAAGTCAAATGCCTTCTGTAACCATGAACAGAAAATGAAATCAGGCTGAACGGACTATTAGTTATACATATATTGAGGAAAAACTGTAAAGGCATGTAAATGTTTATGAAAAAATTCCTCAAACTCACTGCTGCCACGTTGGAACAGATGAACAGTACTCTCCTGTGGGTTTTTGGAGGCTGTAAATTACATGCTCATCTTTTTCCCTCTCAGCTGCTAGTGGATTTGAACCACCAGAGAGGCTCCATCTTTGGGTCAGCAGTGCAAGATAATGGGAATAGTTTAATGGAGAGTTCACTTAATACTTTTTTTTTTTAAGGGCTTTTAAAAGCCAGGGTAGTTTCGAAAGCCAGAAAGAGACATTTCCTCCTTTGTTGTTTGTATCAGCTGTCATCATAACCTAACTCACAGTGACCCTAAAATGCTGCCAGGTCCTGCACCATCCCCATGATCAGGTATGGACAGGATTGTTTTGGTCCACAGCATTTCCACTGCCTGACTTTTGGAAATATATCAACAGGCTTTGATTCTTAGCTCATCTTGGCCTGAAGGCTCTGTTGAAACATATCCAACCTCACAGCCACATGCCAGCCTCCACTGACAGATGCAGGTGAGGTCCACTGGCCAGGAATTGCACGGAAGGCCAAGATTCTATCCCTGGGCCACCACTGCTCTCATCCTCTCCTCCCTACTGCATCAAAGAACTCAACTTTTTCTAAATTCTACTGAACAAAAAGAATAACAATTCTGGGCTAGGGTTTACTTACACACCTGTTTGCTGTCCATGTCTGGTTAAAGATTGAGGTGTCACTGAAGGAGTTACAGAGGATGAGGGAGTGGACTCTGGGAGACTTGTGAGTGTATTCAGCAAACTTCTGGGCCAAAAAGCCTCCCAAAGAAGCCCCGAAAAGATGCACCTAATTAAAAACAAGCATAGGTGGCGTTTAAAGCACTGATCGATCTTGAACATAGATACTGAAAACAACTTTTTATTAGTCATCAAATATTAGACAATTGACTTGAAATAGTTACATAAACTGCCAGCCTTTTGGTTAGCATGTGAGCAGTCAACCTCTGAGCTACCAGCTCCTTCTATAGCAGTTATAAATTAGTAAACATGGCATCCCAATATATGATGTGTAAAATAATTAAAGATATGATATGCACTTTCTATCATAAAAAAAAAACACACAGCACCAATGTATCCAAATGATACAATGGAAAAAAAGACTATTATTCAAAGATTATACCACAGAAAACGACACCACTCTGTAGTTTACTTAAAAGGACTATTATTATTAGTTAGGGAGCTCTGGTGGCCAAGTGGTAAGAAGCTGTGCTGCAATCCCAGAGGCACGCAGTTCAAATCCACCAGCTGCTCTGGAGAAGAAAGTTGGGCAATCTCCTCCTATGTGATATATTGTCTCTGAAAACCCACCTGAGGATCAGCTATGGATGGGTTCTGGCTTGACAGTACTCAGTAACAACATTATTACATAGTAATTCTACTCCTAGGTTTACATGCAAATGAAATTAAAATATATGTCCACACATAGACTTATACACAAATCTTCACAGCAGCATTATTTGTGATAACGAAAAATGGAAAGAACTCAAAGGTCTATAGTTAATGAATGAATAAACAGTGAAATATTTCCATATAATGGAATATTATTTAGCAAAAAAAAAAGAATGACATATTAATACAGGCTACTATACAGATGAAACTTGAAGACATTCTGTATATGATTTCATATAAATGGAATAACAAATGGAGAATCTACAATTTCATTATAGAAAGTGTTTAGAATAGATGGAAAAAGAAAATGAATTAGTGTTGCCTAGGGCTGGGGGAGCACTGGTGGCCTAGTGGTAAAGAGCTGTGCTGCCAACCCAGAGGCATGCGGTTCAAAGCCACCAGATGCTCCAGAAGAGAAAGAGGGGCAATATCCTCCCATACAATTTATTGCCTCTGACAACTTGCTGGAGGATCAGCTGTCAGTCAGTCCTGAATGGACATGACACAATAACAGGGACAGGGGTGTTGGCAAATACGGAGTGACTGGTAATGGACATAGTTTCTGTCTGAGATGATGAAAATGACCTAAAACTGGTCATGTTTCACAACTCTGTGAATATGCTAAAAACCACTGAACTATATATTACATGTTAATTACACACCAATAAAGTTTCTATGAAACCAAGGGAACACCAGCCTTTATAATGTCAATGTTGTGTTACTATCTCAAGAAACAATTTCAGGTTACTCACTTTATCCAGTTGTAGATGGTCTAAAAGTTTTCTGAATCCATCACAGAACTCAAGGTGGTCCCAATAAACTGGGTACTGTAACTGAAATAATGACAACAATTTGTTATCTCTTTCTGAAACTGTGAAGGCAAAATACAACTCATATACACGTGATAAATTTAGCATTCACACTGGCATTTCTCATTTGCTCAAGCTTTGCTCCTTTTTAAAAAAAAATGTGAAGAGAAGTTCTCATCGTCATCTAAACTTCATAATTCATTTTACTGAACAGATCAATTAAAAAAAGAATAGCTAAATAAGCACTCTCTGGTAATATCACATGAATTTCAATTTCTTTCCTTTCTACATAGCTGAGAAATGTTGACATTTAAGGGTTGTTATGTGTAGTCAAGTTGCCTGCAACTCACAGCAACCCTATGTACAGTAGCCCTAAACTTGTTCTATCCTGTGCCAATCTCACTGTCTCCGACACACCTACCCCAGTTACCCTAGGCACTGAATCAATCCATCTCATCAAGGGTCTTCCTCTGACGTTTAAGAGTATATAAAGCAAAACCCATCCAAGTAAGATTTCCTCAAATCCAATTTCATTCTAAATTATGATCAAGAGAACTAGGCAGGGGTAGGGTAGAGAGAGGAAATTATTCTAGAGAACTCTCTGCTTTGGGAAGCATCTCTTTGGGGAATGTTCAGTAAAAGTGTTTCATGTGGGTTTTTTGTTTTACTTAATGTGTTTTAACTGACTTAGTAATTCTATCTGATTTTCATATGTGACAAAAAAAATATTACAATGGTTGTTACTCAGGAACCTGTCAATCTTAGTGATTATGAGAAAAAAGAAGTATTAGTCACTGGTTTATTTCTATAGGCCTTGGGCATTTTCATTTAGAATCCCTCCCTCATAATACAAAACAGGTTATGGGTGTGGGGGTTTTTTAAAATTCATTGTTCCACATTTTCTTCCTTCCCTTCCCCTCCCTCAGCCCACCCAGCAATGTATCCGTTGTTCCAGATTATTGTTATGCATATAGTACTAATCATATATTCCTTTCAGACAGTTCTTCCCCTCATCTGTTTTACTGCAGTGTTCATTATCTATCCACTCTTTTCCCATTCTTTGCCCAACCCTCCCTCCTGTTTTATAACAGCGGTGTTATGCAGTATTTGTCCTTTTGTGATTGAGAAATTTCACTCAGCATAAAGTCCTAAAGGATCCTCCAGGTTGATAATGATTTATGAGTTCATTGTTTTTTCAGTGCTGTGTAATATTCCACTGTGTGAATGTATGAAGTTTTTTCTATTTATTTGTTTGTTGATGGGCACTCAGGTTGTTTCCATCTCCTTGCTATTGTGAATAATGCAGCAATAAACATGGGTGTGCATGCATCTGTTTGAGTTGTGGCTCTGGTTTTTTTAAGGTATATTCTCAGTTGTAGAATTGCTGGGCCAAATGGTGTTTCTATTTCAAATTTTTTTTTTTTAATTTTTTTGTGCATGTACCGTCAAATCAGATCTGACTGGTACAGGAGGAAATTGTCCCTCCTTCTCCGGCAGAGCATCTGGTGGATTCTAACCGTGTACCTTTGCGATTGCAGTACAGCTTCTTGCCACTAGGCCACCAGAGCTCCCCTATTTCAAACTTTTTGAGAAAGCGCCAGACCACCTTCCATAGTGGCTGTACCATTTTACATTCCTACCAGCAGTCTCTCCACAACCTTGTTAGCATTTGTTGTTTGCTGTCCTGTTGAGCTTTGCTATTGTTGCTGGGGAGGGTTGTGTTTTAAGCACTCAGATCCATTTCTATGATGAAAAATCAGTAGAATAGATATCCCCATGTAAATAAAGAGTTAATTTTGGATTTGATGTCAGATTACTTTTATTACTAAAATTAAATTTTTGCATAAGGCTTCCACCATGCTGAGAAAGAAGAGAGAGTTCAATTCTCTCTAGGAGAAAATGTGAGAATATGAGTCATTTGACAGCCTACAAGAAAGGCTTTAATTTAAAAGTATCCATGTCTTAGACAAGTGATAAAATTGCACAGGAATTAACACACACACACACACACACACACACACATATTAATATATAAGTAAAGAAGGAAAAAAGAAGATGTAAACCCATAGATTTTATCAATGTCAATATCCTGGGTTGTTATATTAGATGGTAAAGCCTATGAAAGCTGGGAACCTATGAAAATGCAAGTATTTTCCACTGATAGAAAAGCAGTAAGATCACACTCTGTCAAAGGCAGAGACTTGTGAGACCCATGGAAACAAGTCCTTATAGGTTCTCACAGGCTTCACCGTCCTGTAAACCAAAGCAAGCCAAAACCCACTGTTGACTTGACTCCGACTCACAGGCAACCACAAGACAGAGAATTGCCCCAGTGGGCGTCCAGACTCCTCCTCCTCTCTTCTGTCAAGCAGCTAGTGGGTTCAAACTACCAATCTTATGACTTTGTCACCCTTTACACAAAACCATCTTCTTGTTTTAAGGTCTTAGATCCACTCTGCTGTTGAAAACATCACTATAATATACAGTGCCTTTTGGCTGGGAGTAGAACACTCTAGCCATTGCATCTGCACTACTCTCTCTCTCTTACTCATTGCCATTGAGTCAGTTCTTACTCATTATTGACTCTCCAGGAGGTCTCCAAAGCTGTAAATCACATGGGGAGAGACTGCCTATCTTCCTCCCTCAGAGCAAGGTGTGCATTTGAACTGCCAGAGCGGCTTGGCCTTGGGGTTAGCAGCCAACTCCATGGACTCTGTCACCAGCGCTCCGTACTGTGTATGGACTTCTCCAAAATGTTGGCCGGGGTGGGGGGGGGGGGGGGAAAGTGTCTAAGAGACTTCTCAATTATTTTGCATAACTAACTCCATGTGAATCTGTAACTGTCTCAATAAAAAGGAAATTTTTTAAAAGCCCCATCCACTTTAATTGCTAGATATTAACAATGATCTAAATAGTTAATCAAGTTTCTTTACAGGGTTGAGGGTTCTCATGTCCTCTTAAGGACAAAGTGCATTTCAAAGACACTGATGGCTTTCTCTTGATTCATTGTCAAGTTAATGAAATAGCAAAAGCCCACAGCAAGAAGATTAATGGCAAAGAATCATCATTCATCTAGACGGCAAGGCTATTGTGACCTTGTGGCTTCGCGTGATAAACACACTGCGAATCTGCCAGTCAGCACTGTCTGCCTTAGTGGGAAAGCCGGAGGCCCCCTTCTGGATGTTGCACAGTGAACACCAAAGCAGATCTTAGACTGCAAAGGGCTAAGATGGGGCAGTGAGCATCCTGTTCTCTTGGGGTATTTACTGTACTTGCAGAGGGAAAACTGACAACCTAGAAGAAGGAGAAGGATGTTGCAGAGATTCAATTATACAGGAGGAATGGTAAAGGAGTCACAGACGATAAACACTCCAGAAGAAGGCAGAAGGTGGGGCTGGGGATGACGGTTTTCTCAAGTCAGCCAAGGGCTGTCAGGAGGAACTGGCTTGTCTTGTGTTGGCCCCACCTGACTCGAACTGAATTTTCGGTTACCTTCCAGGAGCACAGAGATCTGACCCACATTTCTCTCCTTCAGACAGTAAAGAACACATAGAATAGTAATTCTCTCACTGGAGGTACCATTTCAACATCCCAGATCCCAGAAACAACTGCCAGTGCCACTGAAAAACAGTCTCTCTCCTTCTTGGGAAGTTGGGGACCAACACTGTTGTCAGCATGGCTGAAGCAAAAGTGGGAAAAAGCAATCATGAGCCACTGCTTTTCCCACCCACATCTTTTTTCCCTGAGAAGAAAGTTCAAGAATGATCAATGGAAAATTAGCTTTAGATCAAACTCAGCTGGAAAATACAATATTAAGAGAGGAAGGGAAATTCCCTCCTTAGCCAAATGCTAAAAATAATAGGGTAATGACCTTTACTTCAAATATCAAAGATTTTCATTAAAGTAAGCTTTCAGTCACCTGAATATTAGAAGTTTCTTCTGTTGTCTACATTCCTTCATCAGCTCTCTAGGGAGCAACAGTGAAATAAAGGGAGGAATGGAAAGGAAATGGAGATGAGAGAGTAAGACCGAGTTCAGCTCTTCCTACCAAGACTCTCTGGCTGGATGACCCAAGGTGGTGACTAAAATTACTTACACCTCAATTTCTTAAGCTATAAATGAGGATAATGGTTTCTATCACTTAGTCATGAGAAGAAATACAGGAGATACTGCACAGAAAAGCTGGAGTGGGTGTAGAGCAGGCATCCAATAAAGACTTGTTCCCCCTGTGTGTCTATCTACATATCTTTCTTTAAAAGATTTTGTTTCTGCAATGGATGAATGGAAATCCATAACCTCTGTAAATGTCTATTAAAATTAATAAAAAAAGAAAAAGGGGGAAAAAATATTTTGTTTCCAACTAGAACATCCAGAAAAGAAATACTGAGAATGTTCAGGCATTGTGAAGAATGTATGTAACTAGTGCCACTGAGCAAGTTGTGTGGAAATTGTTAAATGGAACCTAAACAACTGTATAAAACTTCACCAAAAATACAATTTAAAAAAATCATATTAAACACTAAAATAGTCTTTTAAAAAGGGTTTCATTTCATATTTCAAAATATGAGAATAGTATCTTACCTCAATAAAATCCATACCCATTAGTATACCTGATCAGAAACAAAAGAAACCCACATAAATAGGGACCTGAATTTTAATACGAATCAATAATACTTACAGCTATAACCCGGTAACCCCATCCAGTCAAAGCCAAAATCTGCCGGAAAAAGACATCTGCAGTTCCGCTCACGGGGGGCAGAAATATGAGAGGGCACCTGATACTTCGGGGGCCCGCGTCATAGAGTGACCATATTTTACTGTCATCATCATCTACAATAATCTGGGGGGAGAGGGAAGGTTGTAAAGAAAAAAAGCATTTTATATTTGGCCTCTATAATGTTCTTTTACACTATCATTTCACAGACAATCATAATATCAGTCATGTTTGTTACAAGGTAATTAATCTCAGTAATGAAGTCTAAAAAAGGAGATACAGGATTGCAGCTGTGGTTGCATTTTCTTTCTTTACTATTGGCCCATCACCCAGAATTGCTTCATATCTTCCAAAGAGCTGCTTTTTCTTCTGATTTTTAACTTTCTTTTCCACCCACAATAATATGATTGTCTATTTGCTTGCTATCAAACAGGAGGCTCTGAATATGACATCCCTAGCTCTCCCTGTGTGTATGTGTGTATGGAGAGCAACACGTAATCAAAGGAACTCTGGTGGTACAATGGTTAAGCACTTAGCTGCTAACCAAAAGGTTGCTGGTTTGAATCTACAAGTCTTCCTGTGGGAGAAACTTCTGGAAGTCCGCTAGTATAAACAGCAAAGCCTTGGAAATCCAGAGCATGAGGTAGTACTACTCTATGAGCTGGAACTGAGGACAATGGGTTTGGGTTTTAATCTACAATCACTTTCCAATGTGGCCCCAAGGACAGGCTTGAGTTAGTGGTGTATGGCAAGTATGAACAGGACAGGTAAAGGATACAATGTTCTAGGCTCTTAAAATAAACCAGGTAAAAACAGCCCAAGCTCAGAAGATGTTTCTAGAACCTGATCTTGACCAAATCTCTCAGGGGAAGACTTCTGCCACAGAGGAGGGATGAGACGGCAGAGGTGTACCTGTCCCAGGAGAAACTCAGGCCATTGCAGGGGGCGGGGACGATGGTGGGCATGGTGAGACACTGGCTTATCTGGGTGGAAGGGTCAGGTGAGGGTCTTTAGGAACTTTTCTAACTTAGGGGTTTTGACCCAACAGAGAGAAAAGATCAGCATGAAATGAGTAGAGGCAAATCAAGAACTCAGCACAGAGTCTGGCCTGATACTTAGTGTTCAATAAGTGTATTCACTGCATGGTAAACTTTTGTTTTCTCTGGCTGCCTTTTGGTGGTGTTTCAAAAAGTACATTAACTGCTTGGACAGGTGCCAATGCAAATCAATATGCATCCTACTTTTATATCTTAACAGTTCAAGGCTTCCAGGCTTTTTCCTGAGAGCACCTTGCTGGCAGCCCTGTGTGGTCACTGGCATCACAAACTGGGCGAGACAAAGTCCAGAGGGTCTGTCTAAAAACTTCCCATGGGCCAGGAATGGCGGTAACAGTATCCACTGGGTTTATTTCCTTTTGTGCTTATTACTCACATTTTCACTTCTCATGTTTCTTTTGGCTTTGATGGTAGTTGTCTGGGTTTTTTGTTTTGTTTTATCTCTCAGTGGCTTTTAATACCGTATTACTCTTAGAGTTACTCTTACAATAATATGATCAAAGATATTTGGATATTTAATATTTTCTAAGAAATTATTTCAAGATCCCAATTTAGAAGAAAAGTAGTGAGAACAGTACCCGATGCATAGACACACCTTAGCTTATTGCTTTCCAGTTCAGCTTTCTCAAAATTCCATGGTTGGCAATTTTTTTCAGAACTCCTCTAGAAGGCACTGTTAACACTGATTTGGTATTTTAGAATCCAGTACCACAGAATTTCTAGCAAATTTATTATGACTGACGACTAGAGAAAGTGACACTAGTGGAATTATTTCCTAGAATTATTTCTAAGGATATTCAGATGGCTGGCATTGTGATGGGCTCCTGAGGGAATGAATCCCTGAAGAAGTGTTCATGTGAGTTCCTTGTGGGGACAGGCAAGGGTACAAGCAACAGAGGGGTCTGCTCCCCATGTAGCATGGATGTGGTGAGGAGGGGTGGGGGGGCTCGGACAAGTGGGTTTGACTTTAATCCCAAGTCAACCTGATTTCACATCCAGACTCTTATAGGTCGTGGATTTTCTCTCTCTCTTTTTTTTTTCTTGTTTTGGACTGTCAAGTCAGATCCAACTGGCAAAGGAGGAGATTGCTCCTCGGGACTGCAGCGCAGCTTCTTGCCACTAGGCCACCAGAGCACCTTTGGTCTTGGATTTTTAAATATAAAAGTCAGATACATATTGATTTGAATTGGCAAATGTTCACACAGTTAAGTACTAAATGTTCACATAGTTAAAGTACTTCTTAAAATACCATTGGAAGGTAGCCAAAGAAAACAAGTATTAAATACATTAATGAATCTTTATGAATTTCTACTTTCTTTTCTGGGAAATGAACTCACCACTACATATCAGGTTAAACTGCTGCACAAATTAAATGAGCTAGCTGGAAGTTCCGACAACAGGGCCAGGCTTAAGGAGGAATTCTGTCTAAACTTGTCAGTATGTAAAGTAATTGTTATTAATGCAAACTTGCATGCTATTTCCACAGCTGTCTGGCCTGACAAAAAGACCATATTGAAACATATAGGATCTTAAGATTATAGTATTCTGGGGAGCTCTGGTGGCCTAGTGGCAAGAAGCTGTACCGCAATCCCAAAGGTACACGGTTCGAATCCACCAGAAGCTCTGCCAGAGAAGGAGGGACAATTTCCTCCTGTACAGTCAGATCTGATTTGACGGTACATGCACAAAAAATAATAATAAATGTAAAAAAAAAGATTATAGTATTCTAATATTTCTGCAAGGGAATCTGCTGAGATTTTAGCTGGTGAATTAAAAAGCCTTTGTCTAATGGGATCCCTTAACATTGGGGACCCCAAAACAACAGTTAAACTTCAAAATAAGTGTTTAAGGTTTTTGGACAGTCCAGCCATATAAAGATTGTAGAAGATTAATGTGGCAGAGTGAACATATAGTTGTAAACAGAGGACTGGTAATGTAATCCACTGTAAATTTTAAATTTGAGGAAGAATGGTTTTTAAAACAATGTAATTGCACTTACTATTCAGTTGCCTCGCCACTAACTTACACAGAGCAGCACCCAGCCCTGCTTGCATTAGTTATAAAATAATGACTATAGTTATTCTCGTTCACGTCTTAAACAAGACTAAAGCAAGAAGTGACTGACCATCACGGGTGAACTGGAGTCCCATAATAGGCAACAACCTTCACTCTCAAACACCATCAAGGTACAGCCTTTAAATCACACACAAAAACAATGCAAGATTTTGCCAACAAAAGATACAGTAAAGCCAGACATACCTTTTTGAGGGGAACTGTACTTCTAAACCAGTTATAATCAGGGGAGACTTTAATCTCTCCCATGATTAGCCAAAATGGAGGTTAATCCTGAAATAAAAGTGCAAGACGTTTCATTCATGTCAACAACCCACATTTACATCTGAACTAAGTTAGAGTCTGGTCTAGCTCAAGCAGCAAAACTTGGGAGACTAAACCAAACCAAAACGCCAAGCCCACTGCCATTACATTGATTCTGACTCATAGCAACCCTATAAAACGGAGGAAATGGGCTATTCTGCCTTGCAGTATATACTTAAAATATAGAAAACAATCAGGTGAAATCTTATGATCTTCGGTAGAAAGGGCCCTTTGCTATCCTAATTCCAACCTCTTTAGTTCTTCCAGCAGAGGAAGGTGGTATAGGAAACATAAGTGACTTACCTGAGACCACGTGTCTGAGGCAGAGCCAGGACCAGGCACAGGACAGTGTTTCCTGACCGCACATTGCCTGTCCTAGTTAAATGAATCAGAACTGCTGAATCTATCTTTTCGGAAGCTCTGGTGGCACAGTCCGTAGGCACTGCTAACCCAAAGGCCGTGCCTCTCTGATAATGTGAATCCACCCACAGTTCTTTGACAGAATGATAGGCAATTTCCTCCCATATGATTTACAGCCTCTGAAAACCCACTGGAGGGTCAGCTGTGCATCGGTTCCAACTCAATGGCAACGAGATAGGATCTTCTGAAGATGTTTTAAGAATCCATTTTAATAAAGACGCTCCTCTCTTACAGAATTAAGGGCAAGAGTCTTCTCTAGAGAAAAGTGTAGTTGCAAACTCACTTCCTCTGAACTCACAACATGCTTATCAACCTGCCTCCAGTGGAAGATAACTTTGAGGCTATGCAAGACACAGAAACTTGCTGTTTACATGAATGCAATTAAAAGTTAAATAATCCTTCAAAGGATCTACAAAAGTGCCAGAACAGACTGACAGCACCATACCTAGTGGGTAAGGAGTTGTGCTGCCAACCCAAAGGAAGGCAGTTCAAATCTCCTCCCGTGAGATTTATTAGCCTCTGAAAACCTGCTGGAGGATCAACTAGTTAGTTCCAACTCAGTAGCAGCTAACAACAAAACAAAACATCTGCCTTTAAAAAAAATGTGTGAGAACAATAATTTCCAGTTCTGATAGCTTCGGGACCTTGGATAAATCACTGACCTTCTTTGGGCTTGTTCTCTCATCACTGACTGGCTCACGACTATACCCTCAAAGCCAGGAACAGTGGTGCACACATGGCAGTTATTACTTAACTAATAATAGTAATAATTAATAAAAGAGTATGTCCTAAGGAGAATGAACTCGGCAGTCCTACAGTCCTTCTAACCCTGGGATTGTATGAGCTTTGGACAAGTTGAACACCTTCAGCCTAAAAACTGTCCCTCTTTACTCAATATGTGTTATGTCTTAACAGGAAGCTGAAACAAAAGTTCCCTGTCTCAGGGATAAAGGATAGTTCCTTCTTATTGATAAATGAGGAACTCCTACTCCAGTCATCTATTTGGAAGGATTCGAATACTTGCTTTGCATTCTGTCCTCCACCTCAGAGTAAGCCTGGGTTTCCTAGGGTTGTTAAGATGGGTTTGAAACTCTAGAACTTAACTCTGGGGCTGATTCTGAACTGTTGTTTTAGAGGGAATTTTCTGAAGTGGCAAAGAGTAAGGGATGCTGAGCCCCAGGGAACTCTCTCTCCTCAGCCCACCAGGCACAGAGGGAACGCAGCAGTTTCCACCGTCACCTCTAACTTTGAGGTTTACTAAACCTAACTCAAAGGAGACAGCAGATCCAGACATTCCAATACTAAAAGTGATTTACAGCCTGGACATTATAATAATGGTCTCTCCTCTCAAAGCTGAGGTGGTAGTTTTAGAAAAGCTTGTTCAAACCATAGGTTGCTTTGAAGTACCAACAAAATCATCAGCCAGTCTCGCGCTGAAAAATCAATGTGCACAGACGTGGTTATTATGCATATTAAAATATGGAAAATTATTCTTTGCATATCTATTTTAATTTAATAAAAACTGCTTGTGGTTTAAGTACAGTCGACTTGACTATGGTTCATAGCGACTCTATGGACAACAGATCTGAACCCTGCCCTATCCTGTGCCATCCTCATCATCTCTGAAACGCTCAAGCCGTTGTTACAGTCACTGTGTTTTAATCTTTGTGGAGGGTCTTCCTGGCTTTCTCTGAGCCTCCAACTTTACCAGCATGATGTCTTTTTCCAAGAACTGATAACATCATAAAAACTAGCATGCTCAAAAACCTAAGCCATCAGAACTATAGTCTGTAAGCTGATTATTATTTTTAATTCAAAGCACCCAGCATCTGTGGATGACTCTCGCGGTGTCCACTGTGTGTTGCCCTGCTAATCAAATGGTTCCAATATATCAGCGCTACATGGGAGAAAG